GATTCATCAAAAATATTTATATTAGATATAGCCCAAAAAAATTCATATAAATGGGTTAATGAGTTTATTCCAAACACCACAGCTACTGCAATTATTACAACTACTGCAGCTATAAATAATTCAGACTCAAGCAATACAAATAGTTCAGATTCTAAAAAAATCTAGCTTAATTGTTAGTACCATTATTGGCAAGTATTTTGACACTAAAATTTATTGATAAATATAAATAAATAGATACTACAAATGTATTACGCATGCCATCTTATTTAATATTAAAAGAAAAAAAATAATAAAAACCTTTGATCGAGCTGCCAATGTTTTAAAAAATTTTTAATTAAAACAATAAAAAATATTTTAAAACTGGTTAAACCGTTTTATTCCATTCCTTGGTAATCTTGAGAATTATCTGAGAAAATTTTTAAAGAATTTAGAATATAAAGTTATGGTTTTATTAAACTTTTGGGACACTTGAAGAACAGTTAACCCAGTGATCGACGATCACATAATGACGTCATCTGTTTACCAGAATTAAAACAAACTGGCCTAAATATACCCTAACCTTAACCCTAATCTAGGCCGAACACTTGTCATGTGATGTTGTGATGATCGCTGGGTTAACTCTTCTTCAATTTACCCAAACTTTTAATTAATATTTGTGTGACAAAAAGGAAAACCTGTAAATTATTTCACGTATTATTATTATTACTGTATAATCATTTACAGGTTTTCCCTTTTCGTCACTCATTTCTTGATTACTACTTGATAAAATTCAATAAAAAATTTTTATTTAAATTCTACAGATTTATATAATTAAAATAAAAAATTTTGGTCTGGTTATATGATCGTAGTCTTTTTATTCTAAGATATTTACCTTTTTTTTTAAACTATAAGTGAATATTTTACGATAATTTGGTAGTCACCAAGAAGCCTTCAAAGTTTTATAAAAGGGTCATCTGTCGCACATTTCTTTATAAACGTACGCTGTATTGACAAATATGCCGTGCACAAAAAAATTTTTATACAGGAAAATTATGAGTGTCCTGTACATTTTTACCATTCACTTTGTTCATGTAAAAATAATAGGTTTATTCTTGGTTTATTTCAAATTACCAATTTGTTTTAATGAGTTTCATGACTATGGGGAAAATTTTATGTTCCAGGATAGAATAAAATTCAGATATTTATGTAGATCAAGTTAGTTAATAAAACTATGAAACCATGATAGCATTGACGGGACAAAGATAAAAAAAGGTTGAACAGTCAAATGCGTGAAATTAAGTTTATATTAAACATATCTGTTTCTTTATTTTACGCAAAGACTTTATTAAAATCAGCAAACATTGAATTTATTTAAATTCAATGAACATGAAACTGGATTTGTTTAATTGAACTGGAAACTTTGTATAATAAGATTTGAGACTTTGTTTCGTCCTACCAAGCTTCGACCACGAGCAAAGCTAATAATATATATTTCAACTTATATTTATAAATGAACAAGTTTTTATGTTGAATTGCTTAGCAATCCCAATATATTTTTATAGCATGCATGAACAAACTTTGACGTTAACATAGATATAATGCTGTATACAAGAAGAAAACCACAGTGGTATTGTTATGAAGTGCTTCAGTTAATGCATTCCTTCCTTCATAATTAATGAAATTTATAGAAAAATCCAAAGAAGTCAGGGTTATTGTCGAGTAGTTTCTGAAGACAATTATACCTAGTGAAAGTTATACAAATTGAGGACGAAGAGTTTAGCAAATTGAGAAGAAAGAAGGATGGACGAAAGTATGAATCGATAGATTCACGTGACCACGTGATCGATCGGAGTCGTAGGCAAATCGAGATGTGGGGCGGCACATGCAGGATCGGGTACAATAAGTTAGGGTGTACAACGGCCTATAGGTAGGGTCACTAATGATCATCACTATTTGCGGATTTTTTATTGAAATCGATGCCACATATATCAATCTTATTAAACCAAAAAATTAGATTTATTGAAATAAATAATTAACTAAATAGAATACTATTTTTTTTTAAATTAAACCTCAAGACTAGCTCTACACTGAAATAGAGCTATTTTTTTAATATTTTTATCAAAATATTTAGAACGATGATGATAGTTTCGAATATTAATATTTTTTTGACTTTTTTAAAAAGATGATTAAAAAAATAGCTCTATTTCAGTGTAAAGCTAGTTTAGAGCTTCAATTTAAAAAAAATAGCATATTGTTTGATTAATTGGTTATTTCAATAAATGTAATTTTATTTTAGTAAAATTATAGGTTCGATTTACAATATCAATTACTGTATACGTATTAGGTCATACAACTTAATAAATCGGTTTCTATTACTCAACCGGGTCAATTTCTGCAAAATTTTTTCAAAAAGATTATTTACTACGTATCCAGTTTTTTTTTTTTTCGCATCTATAAAAATTTTGTTTACGGGCTTGTTTTAAATGATTTCGCTAACTTTAATGTTTAACTTGTTTAATTTTTTTTGGCATGTTTATTTTAAAAAGTATAAAAATAAAAATCGCAATTATTTTAATTAATTTTAAAATTTTATTGATTAAATAATAATTAATAAAAATACAAAATTATCAGATAAAAACACATAATAAAATTACCAGTTTATCTCAGAATCCTGATACCGAAATCCCAATGTTTAAAATCCCGAAAGCAATTTTCAATACTATCGGGATTTTATTTTCTGGATTTTGAGCATCGGAATTTTAAGTATCAACCCCAAAAATTACCATTAGAAAATCCGCAATTAGTGATGATCATTAGTAACCCTAACTATATGATTTTAATAGGCCGTTGAACACCCTAGCGATACGTATGTAAACAAAAATACACTTTAAATAAATAGATCGCTTATGAAATAAATGTTACTTATTTTTCAGATCATATATCTGATCATTAATTCTGAAAGTCCCAAATTGAGTCCTTTGCCCAATTAACAATAACAATGATGACGTAAAGTTTTGTGATAGGCTTTTTGCACACAATTTGCGCTTAAGTCTTTGCTTGCAGATTATCACGAGTCGAGTTATAGAATTAGGATGGTAGCATGATATGCAGGTACGTACAGTATATGTAAAGTACTTTGAGATTGAATGAACAGATTGATAATCCAAATTATATAATTAATCATTTATTCTAAAGTCGTCATTGTTTGATTCTTAATTTGTTGTACTTACACCGCACCGCACTTATTTGTTAAAATGATTTCCAAGAATAATTATCTGAATCCTTGGCTCTTGGCATACATATGATGTGATTTGTAAACGGAACGGGTGCCCCGTATACAATGTACTTATGTTGTACACCATATTAGATGTTAGTACAATTACGTACGTACGTACATACGTACCGTACGTATATTAAGGATAATTTGTTGTATTTATTTAGAATTAAGTTACGTATTTCATGCATGCTCATCTTCGTAAATTTTCATTATTTGCAACACTTACACATGTGTATATAACTAGAAATTTTAACCAATAACTATTATTAGTATGTAATCACAATTTTGTTTTTTTAGGTACTTTACACACAATACTCTAAATTATAAATTTTTGATCGGAATGCCCCGAAGTTGTACATCTAAATTAAAGATAAATCAGGAATTACGCAACATACCTTATACGTACAGTACCCTACATACGTTACGTACCAGTACCAGTAACTTACCGTACGTAAGTATGGTAAGGTACTTAGCAAATTTTTAATTTTTTAAATTAATTTTCTTAATTTCTTTGTTAAAAATTTACATGTGCTGATTTATTTATAATAATGTTAACACAACTTGATATTTAGAACCACAATCGAAAACACGTTCTGAATTCTAGAAGATTATACGTTCTATTCAACAATCAAAGAACGTTTTAATTGTTAATGAGTATGACATCAGTGATTTACTCGCTGCATTATCCTGTAAAGTTTTATTATGAAAGATGAAAGTAATCATCATTTGTTTGATAATTTTAAATTTTTATTCATAATGATTCCACCCAGCGTCTAAAATTGGGTTGCAGAGTCTGCGAGTCGCAACAAAATTTGTGAAATCTGAAACGCATATCCGAATTCTGCATATAAATTTGTAAATATTACCTATATATTTTGATTAAATATTTATGCACGCAACTAAATATTTATAATTCACAAGTAGTTTTTTCTTTGTTAAGTTACGAGTCCGTAACCAATATACTGTAAAAATCATTGAGTCGACATAGAGTCAGGTAACAATTTACTAAAAATGTAACCTGCAATAAATATGTAAAATGCTGACCTTATTTGACGTCGGCTAAATGAATTAATTGTCGATTGACGATAAAGCAATCGTTCAAATATTTGTTATAATGCCATGGATTACTGTAAATCTTTGCTTAATAATTGTTAAAACGTTTGTTCAAGGTGATTGTACAATGTTTAATACAGAAATGTTACGTATGTACGACAGCTTAAGTGGTTTAAAATATGTATACATTTACCATACGATAAATTCATGTAACAAATATTCAATTTATAATTATATGGTCTCATATTACCACAAGTCTCATATTATCACAATATACAGTTAAATTACAAAATTATATAGTCTAATGCTGTAGTACTATACTGCCCCAGTAACTAGTTAATATGTTCCCATACCACTATACTGTACTAGTTAAGTCCCTTGCCTACAAGTTACCATTAAAATTTTGCAGCTAATCTGATATTGTATATAAAATTTTAATTTACTAAGTTGGGCTAAAAATTCTCGGAGAATTAAAAAAAGTTTAAAACTTTTTGAATTTTAGTCTAAACTGTAAATATTTGTTGTGTGTACAAAAATATGGGTCTATCTTTTTTGTTTTTTTGAAATTCTATGTATCCTAAACGTAGGTATGTGTAGTAGGTATGTGTAACTAATTAAATTGTTAAATAAATACTATAAAATTCATACTTTCATGAATTAATTAATATTAAAAAAATTGATTTTAGATGTAATGAAGTCTGATAATAATAAAGACCCTTCTTTTGCGTCTGGCAACTCAAAGAAAAATAGAAAGCCTTCTTTAATATCCATTAATATTGATATTGCTGATACAGCAGAGGATTTAAATGAAGTTGTTTCTCCTCTTTTAGACAAATTTAAAACAATAAACGGAAGAGATTTCTTTGATATTGAAGACTTAAATTATATATTACCATCTGATAAATTAGAGGCTGAAAGGGCAGCTTTGGTTCATATACTAAATAAGCATTTATGGCGAAGTAACTTTCGCTCTCCAATTGCAGAAAGATTGGAAAAAGGCAGTGCCAAAATACTTGAAATTGGGTAAATATAATTTGCACTATATGATATATATCATATATATAAATTCATATCATACGTTCTGCCTCAGATGTCGGTCTGTCTATAAGATATGATTAGGTAAAGTTAGGGTCAATCAGTTAATGCTGGCCAAAAAATCGACATTTGAGGCAAGCGTTAGTTTGAAGCACGACATATATATATTTCTATATTAAATTTAATTTTTTTTTTAAATTTAAGATGTGGTCCAGGTTGTTGGATAATCGATATGGCACTAGAATATCCATCTTCAACATTTATAGGAATTGATGTTGATTCCTCCTTCTTTCCTCCTGCTGATAAATGTCCTCCAAATGTTTGTTTTCTTACATACAACGTTACTTACGGAATTCCATTTCCTACGGAAACTTTTGATTTTGTTTATATGGGTATGATGTGGTCTGCTTTTACGGAGCCTCAATGGTCTGACTTGATCAAAGATATTGTTAGAGTTTTAAAGTATGATGGTTGGGTCGAATCTCTAGAACCAACTTCTCGACTTCAAAATATGGGGAAAACCACAAAATGGATAGAAGATACTGGTGCGTATAGTCTTTTAAATTTCGTTGATGTGAAAGATATATAATTAAATATATATTTATATTTTCTTTTATTTAGTTATTAAAGCTTGCATGAAAGAAAAAGGTGTTAATGTTCGCATTTGTGCTATGATGCCAAAATTTTTTGAATCAAATTATGAACTTACAAGCATACAACGCGTTAAAGTAGAATACCCAATAGGCGATTGGTTTGGATGTTTTGGTAAATACGTAAGTATAATAGTAATTTTAATAACATGTATTTTTATTACACGTATTCTAATCTATTATAATTTCTTTTTTTTTTTTGATAAAAAATTTTTTTATATTCATAGTCATTGAATAACCTTCGTGGTATATTCCAAGGTTTAGCATTTATGCCAAAATATATGGGTATAACCCATGAAGAATATATTGAGCTGTTGAACGATTTTGTTAAAGAATCAAACGAAAATAAAACTTATACGCATCTTCATAGATGTTTTGCTAAAAAAACTTCGTTTGATTAACTTTAAAATTTTGTTCCTGTATTTGTTATTATCATTACTATTATCATTGTTATCATTATTGTATTTTATTATTGTTTTTTTTTTATTGAATTGTTATATATGCAATATAGATTTTAGAATTGTGTATGTATGTAGGTTTGAATATTAGACTTAGTCTTTTATAATTATATATGTATGTTTTAAAATTAGATATATTCTTTACAATTAACTTATGCATTTTTAAACTTTTTTTAATTGTAAAAAAAAAATGTTATGATAAATTATATGTAAAAAGAAATAATTATAGCTGCACAGCGACGAATAAATTTTTTTTGATTTCTCCTCCTACCACTGATTAGTGTTAATTCATGTAATAGCATTTGATTGGATATGAACAAATATAATTTAATTATTTAGTCCATAGGTTCATCAAATCGTGTGTTTCGTGTGTGAATGAGATATATAAAAATTAGCCGAAATATTTGTTTGATGATTTATATCTCGTATTGTATAATCATGTGCAAATTATTTTGCTCTTATCAATTAATAAGATCAATCTTTTCTACACAGATTATTAAAACCGATACAGTAAACTCACAATAAGGTCGGATATGGTATGGCTGTGCTAAATGTAACGTTGTGAGATCCAAATTTTTGATGAAATATCTATCAATGAAACTACTTTTAATAACTTTCATATGCAGAAGTACTTGTTTAGTAATCTAACCAAACGTCTTCTAAACATTTGATCATTTGCACAGCAAACAACATATTTGCTAAACGAATAATACAAAATCTTTATGATTTTGGTTGGTGAAACGTTGCATTCGCAAAAAAGTTAAACTAGAAATATAGGCAATATTAACATTTCAATGGATAAATAAAAATAAAAGCTAATATATTGGTTTAATACTATATCATGTACTGTAAGTCTTTATTCATGTTCGGGATAATTATACACGTACAATAGCCTTTATTGTAATAATGAATTACGCATTGTATGTAATGCAAATAAAGATCCAAAAATAATAAATCGGAATACTATAGTTTTTAATGCAGTACTAGTGTTTGGACCCGTCTAAAAATCTCCACCCGGGTCACCCATGGGTTGGTTTACGGTTGACTCGCCCGTCTTCACCCGGGTGGCAATTTCTCATTCAGGGTCACCTACCACCCGCTGGTGACCCGGGTGATGCCTACGCGGGTCCAATCACAATGTAGCAGGGTTGGCAATAGAGCTCAATGGAGCTCAATGGAGTTAAGAATGGAACCAATGGAGCTCCAATGGATACTAGTTTTTTGAGCTCTATTCACGTAACAATTTAACTCCATTGGCTCCATTGCCAACCCTGCTATGCAATGCTATAATGTAAATTACAATATTGCTGTAGTCGGTGTTAAAATTTAAATTTAAAATTTTGAAAATAATTAATGTTCACAAAAAAATTTTAATGTGATTTTTAACAAGTTCATAATTTTATCGAATATATAACATAGTGTTGTCAATTAAGAAATGCTATAATGCGATTAATTTTTTTTTTTAAAAATTATTAAAATTATAATTTCAAAGTTTAAACCACATTATACCCTGTTAAAAACCGGTATGCATTGTAGACAAATTTTACATTAGCTTTAAAAGGTTATCAGGTTTAAGTTAAAATTATAATCTGTAAAAACCGATCTTGTTTAAAACTGATAACCTTTCAAAATCGATTATAAATCGTTCCACCATGTCTGTTTCTAATATAGTAATTTTAATCCTGATAACCTTTTAAAGCTAATGTAAAATTTGTCTACTATGCATACTGGTTTTGACAAGGTATACTATATTAGTAACAGACATAGTGGGACAATTTTTCATCGATTTTGACAGGTTATCAGTTTTAGCAGGATCGGTTTTGACAGGTTATACTGTATTACAATTATCAAAATTAAATATTAGCCTGTAGTATAACCTGTCAAAACCGATCCTGTTAAACCGATATCCTGTCAAAATAGATGGTAGACAATTTTTACATTAGCTTTAAAAGGTTATCAGGTTTAAAAGGTTAAAATTACTATATTAGAAATAGACATGGCGGAGCAATTTTTCATCGATTTTAACAGGTTATCAGTTTAAATAGGATTGGTTTTGACAGGTTATATTGTATAACTGATTCTGATAGAGATTGACAAATAAAAAATTGCAAAAAAAAAAAAATACGTAATAATTAATTCCAATAAAAAAATATTATATATATAACTAATTTTGACAATGATTTTGGTAGAAGTTGTAATTTATTCTACTTAATAGAGTTTTAAATTGAATTGGTTGATTAATCAATAATGAACAAAGCTAACTTATCATACATAAACCTTGTTCTTCCATTCCTGGCGTAACATCAGATCAGCCGAAAAATCATTCGGCAAATTTTATCAGATGTTTCAGGAATTATGAAAACAGCTGTAAGAGGTTTTTTTTTTGAATAACGTAAAATTTGGATTTTTGAATTTGGTCGACATAATGAATTAAATTTCATAATTCAGACACATAGTGTTCTGCACAGAATGGTTCCGGGCGGGCGGGTTTCAGTGGGATTCGTACCAGAGCTAATACACACGATTAGAACTTGGATCCAGTGGATAACCGTTATCCATTTAGTCTATTTTTCGGATAGTTGCGAATTTTAGATGTAAACTACCGGCTAAATCCGTTGAATCAATCAAAAATATAGTCGATTCTAGATTTAATGAACTTTTTATAACAAACAATCTAAATAGAAAATTTTTGTCAAACTTAACGAATTTTTTACTATAAGAATTATTATAAATAAGCTAGACGCAATCAAAATATGCATATACATTGTAATATAATTCTTAAAAATAATGCTAACAAATAGTAAAAATATTATTATTTGAGCAACTCAGAGAAATTTCGTTTGAGGTTTCGATAGATAAATAATCTTCACTATCCATTATTACGATTATGAATATGTTATGTAAAAAAAAAAATAAGTTTTGTGCTCAAGATAAAATATGTGTTACGTATAAAAATATGTCATTTATTCATCATTATTAACGAAGCATCAGATAGTTTAATAGATATCCAAAAATGTATGCATTATTTATTCATGTGCATCATTATTAATTGAAGTATCGGATAGTTCCAACTATCTGCAAATATATTTTCGTTATCCGATATGAACGGATATCTAATAGAAAATCCACCGGATTTTTTGAACGTATCAGAGTATTCGGTTCTATTTAGCAGAACACCAGTGCCACATCGCATGATCTGAGTTATTACCCAAAATTTTGGGATTTACCGTTATGTCAAAATCCCGAAAGTCAAAATCATTGTCGCGTTGTGTGATGTCGGGTTCCAGCATTCAAACCCGTTTATGATTAGTAATCACTATTACTAATCATAAGCGGGGTTTGAATACTGGAACCCGACATCACACAACGCGACAATTAAATTTCAGGATTTTGACTTTCGGGATTTTAAAATTTTACTATTCCAAAATTTCGAATTTCTCGAAATTTTGATAGCGTGAATTTAGTCAATCAGATTAATAGGAATTATGGACAACGTGATCTGTAACCAATCAAACACTAAAATCATGCAAGCATATGGGCGGATATGACTCCAATCAATTATATCACATGACGTGATAATTGGGTTTAGAAACATTATCGTTATGGCGTTAATATGGTAAAGATATAAAATTGCACACAAATTTATCACACGAAGGATAATTTTTAAGGCTTTTAATAATGCAATATATAATTTTTTAAATAAGAAAAAATATAATAAATAACATAGTAAGTCTAATTTAAAAAACATGGCAAATCTCTAAAAAAATGAATATCAAATGCTATCATTTTCGAAATTGGTTTTACAATATTTTCACACAGAGTATTTCACTTTACACCTATACTTTAAAAATATTTGTTCCATAATAAATATTTTAAATTTTGTTTCTCGCATTTCTATGTAATTCATATATTTAGCACGATAGCCTAAAAATTTTAAAAAAGTGGTTTGTAAATATGAAGGTGCTAAAAAAAAATATAAATAAACAAAAGATGATATAAAATCTTATTTAAAAGTTAAAATTTTTAGATTTGATATCTTTCACTCATTTCTACCTATTTCAACTCATTTCAACTCATTTCTACTCATTTTAACAAAAACCCACCTAAAACCCATAGATTCAAGAGAGATAATTGTTTATGATTGGCTTAAAAATCATCTGGTCGTGATATTGATTTTTAGTGTAGGACAAATTCGTAATAATCACAAAATTTACATAGAATAAATTTATTTGATTGGCACAAATTTGAAGATCTTATTTGCAAATATCACAAATAACCATCAAATGGAGTCAAATCAGCCTATATGGAAATTTCTAAAATTTTTTGGCTTGAGCGCAACTATAATCTACAGGAGATTTAGAATCTCAGATTCTCTGTCATCATTTTTATGAAAATATTCGTGTCGAAAATAAGCAAGAGTTTAAAAAGTAACTAAAACAAGACTTATAGCTTTTTTCCATTTTGAGAAAATCACATTTAAAAATTTGGTGTAGCAATAACAAGTATTACTTTTTTAGGATTGCGACAATTGGATATCAAATTCTATTTTTAGATCATGTCATGTTTAATCGTATACAGCATTTCAAAAAGTAGACATTGGCAAAAATTTATTATGCAAATCGATGCTTTAAATGTCAAATTATATAGAAGAATGCCTGCTTTAAATGATGTTATAGTTGACTCATTTTTGCAAAAAAATACCATAAGCCCTGTTTTAGTTGACACATCCCCATATTATTCTCGCTTGAATCAGTTTATTTATATGAAGAAACACTATGGGAGTAGTGCCACGTTGCGGCTACTTTATGTGTCCAACGCTTACTCTACACCTTTACAATTTTTCTTTACAACTTTACTTATTTATAGGGATCACGTGACGAAAGAAGAGAATCGAGAATATATAATATACTGTAATTTTTTTTTTAATTTATACTTTCAAGCAC